ATGCTGCAGCATGATGCAGTGGCTTTTCTTGGTATAACCTGTTACTAATTAAGAGTAGGACAGACAAAAGAAAGGGACTGGTTGTGAATCTTCATTGTTTTATGCTCCTCTTTGAGGTTACTGGAGCTGATAACTTACTAGGTGGGTCATTTTCAGGGACTGACACAGGGATATGGCATCAATACCAATGCTAGAAATTTTGGTGATTAAATTATTAAAAAGTATATTATTTTTCTGTAACTATTGCTCATCTAAGCAACTTCTGCTTTCAAAGCCTAATCCAGTACTCGGTGATGCCAGTGAGAATTGTGCCGCAGATTTCTTCCACAGTTGGTTCACATCGCTGGCTGGTTTCATCATGCCTACTGATAAAAGTTTTTGTGGTAGAAAATATGAACATACTGTGGCTTTGGACTTTGTTTCTTTACCTGAAAGTTATTTTCCATTCCTTTCCTGCTTCAGATATTTACCTTACTTCTTCAGCAAATGTTCAGGGCATATCTGTGTGTCTCTGCACAACGCCTTTGCAGACACATCTCCACTGGTACAAGAAGAGCTGCTCCATAACTGGGTATCTCCAAGGTTTAGCACGCCTCTTGTTCAATTTTTCTCAAACAGCCTCTTTGTCAGCCACAAAACTCCATGAAAATGATTGATAATGAAAGGAACTGATTTCTTCTTTCTCCTTGTAAAATGACAGCACATCTCCATTTTGGGTCTTGGTTTACACTTGCACTTACATAATCTGTATAAATGCACCCAGCTGGCATTGATCTGGCTGGATTAAGCAACAGGAGGAAAGATGGTAGGGCGTGGGCTTTGGCGTGCATCCCATGGGTGTGGTTTCAGGTAGCTACTCCTCATGAGGGGTGCAGGCCCTTTCACTTCTGCTCCCACCTGGCTCTGTGGGAGCTACCTCCAGCACAGTTATGTGTGCAGCAGTCCTGTAACTGTAGCAGAGAAATAGGTTTTAAATACCTTGTTTACTGCGCTGTTTAAAAAAAAAAAAAAAAAGTGTAAAATTTTAAAAAATAATGAAGACCAAACATCTGTAAATCTTCCTTTGATGAGATGCCTAGTCATATTCTAGCGTTTACAGTTTTGACAGCAAAATAACACAGGAAAAAAAATCAAAATTAGCATTTACAAGAAATCAGGAACAAGAAAACAGAAGGAAGGCAACAGATACATGTGCTAACAGAGGGATTATGGCTCTTGAGAGAGGGCAATGTGCCATCTATAAAGCGCAGTCATTTTTGCAAATCCCTGTTTTACTGGTTGGCAATTACCACCTGGCAACACTGAGGGAGAGGCAGCTCATACAGTGCTTTGACAAGATGGAAATTGTGTGCTTTAATAAAATGTTTAGCAGCTCTGCTCAACATAGTCCCAGCAGCACATAACTGGGGAGAGAGTGCTAATGTGCAAGGAGGACAGAGACGCAGTTTCTCAGAGCCAGAGTTATTCATGCTGACCAAATGCAGAGGGTGTCCCTGTGCTCCTGAAAGTGCCCCTGGGACCCCAGAGGCCCTACCTCTCCAGTCCCCACACGGTGCT